AAAATGTAAGTGGTGCAAAAGAAAAAGAGGTGAAACAGTTAAAAAAAAAAAAGAAATGGAGAAAGGTGTGAGAGCTTATCAGCGTTGATAACATTTGAAGACGAGCAATTACCCAATAAGTCTTTCATTGGAGATATGAGCTACAATGTCAATCCTCTACCTCTAAGATGTTTCAAATGCCAAAAATTTGGACATATAGCATATAGCTGTATGTAAGGGAAAACAGCGATGTGGAAGGGGTGCTTAAGAGCATGAATGTGGAAAATGTGGGAAATAAGTAAAGATTAAATGCTGTAGCTGTGCTTGAGAACAAACTGCTGCATTTCGCGGATGTGAAGTGAGCAAAAGATCTGAAGAGGTACAAAAAGTCAAATTGGAGCTTGGAATAACTTATATTGAAGCAATTAAAAGAATCTTATTCCAGTTAGAAAGACCCAAATCAACAGTAATGTAAATGACAAGTGGAGGAGTGTCCCAAAATTGCGGAAGATTCATTGATTGTTAAAAAGCAGGATTTTGTGCTGTTCATGGTAGAAGTGATCAATTGTACTGCTAAGACGATAAAGAAAACCGAAAAAATCAGAATAAAAGTGAAAGCTGCAGAAAAGTATCTATAAGTGAGAGATTTAAAACTGGGAAACTGTTGAAAGTATGATTGGAAAACGAGTAGGACAATCAGAAACGAGCAGAATGACAATGATTTAAAGATAAATTAGAAACCATGATGACGAATTTGATTAAGTGTTTGTTATTTATTATTTCGGGTTAAATAGTTCAGAAAATTATAATTTTATTTTTGATTTATTTATATATTTCATTTATTTACTTTTTATATTTTGGGAGGTGTGATACTTTTTTCCTGTTTCCTTGTTTAATGCCTTATCAGTTGGTAGCAGTAAGCACTTTAACAAGTTTGCCAACCGCCATAAAACCTTGCAAGAAGAAGAAGCTTCTATAGCTAACCTGAAGCCAGCTGTAGCCTCCCCATGCTGGTGCTGTTGCCCCTAGCGGGTTTCCCACTCGGCCTCCTCTCAGCGCTCTATTGTGCTGATTCCTTGGGGGAATCCTCCAATCTCCTGCTGTGCTTCAATAGTTCCAGATGGCGATACTGCTAGCAGTCTGGTCCCAGTTCTGTTTTTTTCCCCGCTGGTGTACTTGTGATTTCTCGCTGCCTCTTTTTGAGCCCCAGAATGCCATGTCACCTTACCCTCTGTTGTCCAAGTGATTCGTCCCCCAGAGTGGGACAGCAGGGCCCCGAAGTGGGTCATAGATAGGCAGAAGTACCACTGCAAACAACATTTATTCAGACGTAGTTCCTGGAGGAGATGGTGATGTCCATACTTATTCCGTCTCTGGAGAATTTCGTGAATCCAGGGACGTCGATGCTGGCTGTTTTGTTCAGTTTTCAAAAGTATAAAAAGCACTGCAATTTGCTCAGAGATATCGATGTATACCAATGTGAAAATCAATAACCAGCACAATCAATTTTATAGGAGCCTTTCACCCCCTAGGCACATTTGCCTTCCTTGCAAATTCCTTTCGCTCACCAGGCAAATTTCAAGGCAATAAAAGCACTTCCCAGAGTTTGTTTTTGGTGTTAATGGTTTGGAGTTTTATTGCCACTTTTCCACCAATTCGACTTTATTCAGCTCCACCTCACTCAGCCCAAATTGCAACTATCTAGTTGTTGTTACTTCTTCACCAGAGACTGTTGTTCACTAAATGGGTGTGGCCAACAGTTCAGTATGTCAGCAGCACGTGAGGGGAGAAAATTTTTTTTACTTTAATAGAAGCTACAGCTTATAAATCAGATTAGATTTCTTAACATTTTTGTAAAATCAAAAGAGATATGTAAAAGTCACTGGCAATAAAACAGGTGAAGCAAAGGCAGCATGGAGCACCTCTTTATTAACAACCAGAAAAAACTCTGGTCACTCTACAAAATGTGGTATCCCATTTAAACGTCACATTTTTCCTGATCAACTTATCTCTTCTAAATAAAAAAAAAAAAAGGAACTAATCGCTTTCCAAATACTTCTCCTTCTTTTTTTTTTTAAAAAGGCACTAGTGGCCTTTATTTAGTATTATCTTTTAAAGATAGTAAAGGTGCCTAAGAGGTGGGAAGACATCCATTAAAGGTCAGACTGATCCCTCAATATAAGGTTGTGCGATTAACCCTAGCAATGTTGCACCGATGCCTTTACAATTCCTGTTACATTCTTTCACTGATCCAATTCTATGTTTAGAAGAAGAGACAATTTTATATATTTATCCAGAGAGCTACTTTTGTTTGACACTTTATAAACTCTCTTGAAATCGCAGTGTGAATTAAAGAATAAAACTGAATAACAAGGGAATTAAACAAAAATATGAGAAGACATTAAACCAGGCCTCCTAAATTTTGTCCATTATGCTCCAGTGTCCTGCTAATTTAAGATGTTTCTCTCCTTCCACACCTGAATCAAATTGGTGAATTACCTCCTCGGCATAGATTCAACTTCTCCAGTGTTATGTTAATACTCTGAGTATTTTATTCAGGGATGTTGAAGCAGAGACACATCTGCAGGACACAAGATCATGTTGACTGTATTTTAAAAAGCATGAATTTAACTTTAATTCAATGCAATTAAGTTCTAGAATACTTTAATAATCCCAAAGGGAAATTTAATGTGTCAGTAAATTATAGGTAATTGTTTTTAAATCCAGGTGTTGTAGGTGTAGCTGTAGGCAGGGAGGCTCTTCTTCTTTCATCTTCTGTCTGTCTTGCACCGGATCTGGATAAGTCTCTTTCTGAAGATAATGTTGATGTTCAAAAATCTTTTGAAGAGGATGCTCACTGTTGTCTACGGAAGGCCTATATATTTTTTTCACTTTAAGGATAATTTTTTGTGAAAAAATCTAAATCTAAGCTTCCTTAGGAAGTACAATCTGCTCTGTCCCTTCTTGTAGATGGCTTCACAGTTGTGCATCCTGTCAAGTTTGTTGTCAAGGCATGCTCAATGACTCATTTTTTGAGCTTGCAAAGCCATGTAAAGGTAAAACAAGGAGAGAGCTGCTGTGGAAGCCATCTTAATATTTCTTACTAATTTCCCCACAAGGCTTTGTGAGGGCCCTCTGGTCTAAAGAATTGTCATTCAGCAAGTTAAACAATGCTGTTGACAAGATATTCACAGGTTCTAGCACATCTTAATTCTACATTATTTTAGTCTATGAAAATCCCGGCATGGATTTTTTTTTTTTTTTCAGACTACCTGTCTCAGTAGGGATGTTTAATATAATGCATTATTTTATTCTAATATTTCATGCTACATTTCATGTCTAAAGAATATATAATATTTTTTTAATGCAACACCTAGAGAGCCTATTTTTCCTTAAAGTCATTGTCTTGAAGTGATATGCATTATTTGTATATTTCTTTGATTTTCATACAGACATATAGAGCTACAGTGCATCTGTATATGTAATATATAAATCTGTAATCATATTCTGAATCTTATCAATTTTCTTTTATTGTGCATCATATCTTCATGTGCTTGTTGAATTATACGTATTATAACCACTGATGTTTCAAAATATCTTAAAGAGAGAGATAACTGACTAGAACTAATTAAACTGAAATTCTAAGTATTTCACTGATTATTTGACCAGTATGAAATCAAGATTAAAACAAAAATCTAAAAAAAGACAAAAAAGTTGAGATTCTAATTTGTTCATTTATAAAGCCATTCTTATCGCCCTAAATAAAGCCCACTACCAAGACTGAGTAAAATGCCTGCTTCTCAAATCTTTACCTCTAATTTGATCTTTGCACTTTGTCTTGTGCTACAAATAATTATTTACATAGAGTGTACATAAACCATTTGTACATTATTTTATTCTTATAAGTAGTTTTATAATGTATTACAAAAAAGGGCATACTGTAACATTTTTTTCATATACCTTTATGTAACTTTTCTGAAAAAATTTGTATACTAAATCTTAATTTTTCTCTCATTTCTTATCCCTGGTTTGCTGGGTGTTCCTTGTGAAATTTTACAGATTCTTGACAGGACACCCAATCACACCACGATAACTCTTAGGTTATCTCTATCATATTATTTTTTTTTTACTGCAAAATATCAGTGTAACACAGAATATCACAGTAGATAATTCTTTGTTAAAGCATTTATAACATTTCCTCCTGATGGAAATGAACTGATGCATAACCAGCACAAATTGTCCTAAACTAAAGCATATACATTTCCCCAAAAAATATTTTGATATAAAATAATTCAAATTCAGAGGTAACAACATTGTGAGAGTTTAAAAATGACCAGCAGCCAAGACTAGATACCTGCTGATACACTGTCTGTGATTTGTTATGCTAGCATCACCAGAATGAGAGAAAAATTTAGTCTAGGATTTTTGCAAACTGCCTGAAGTGCTAGAAGTGTTTTTGTAACAATACTGCCACACTTCAAGCTGAGGTGTATGTATCAGTTATCAGTAGTGGCCAAAACTTAGTAAGCTGAGGAAAGTGTGAATAAATATATTTATTTTTTGAAGGTGAATTGTTTCTGGGATTGATATGAATTAAAAATATCCTAGAAGTCGTTCTAATTTCAAATAAGTCAATTGAGTTAAGAAAGAAAACATAGAACATATTGCAGTCCTTCTTCTTAGCTTTGATGATTTGCTTCAAACATGATAAAATGGAGTAACTAGTGTCTCCTCCACTCTCAATATATAAGAAAGACATACCAGACCAGAAACCTTTCTTTTACATAAGTATCATAATAAAAGTTAAAAACTTTTTGTTTGATGGGGGAAAAACCCAGCTGTATTAGAACATTAAAATGGAAGGCACTGATTTTTTTTCTTACACCGTCATTATTTTTTTTTTTTTACTATAGACATCTTTTTGATGCAGTTATAAACCTATAAGAGAGATTCTCCAGTTAAACAAAAGTAACAGCTAATTGTTTTATAACTTCAGAAAATACCACACAAAATATGCAACATTTATGAAATAAGAACTTTTATTCATAATATATTCATACTTGTACACAAGTAAAATAAATGCATATCTATGATTCCATTGCAATCTCCAATGAATAAAAGCATGGCATTCATTTCACAAATGCTCCCCATATTTCCTTTCTTTCATGAAAATATAGAACTAAAATCCAGGGGAGGCAAAACATTTGTTTGAATAAACATAAAAAAAACATTGCAACAAATGTATGATTTTGAATAAATAATGAGAGGGGAATTATTTTTCTTTTTTAAACAGACCAAACATTCTTGGTATTCATTGTGTCTCTGATTTGTTGCATGACGTTTTTTTAATCACCTATGATTTAGTCCTTTGTTTTGTTCTTACACGATCTGTCTAAATAAACGCTTTCAACGGGGAAAATGGGAGAATTCTCCCAGGTGTAGCTTAGACACAGTACAGTTGAGTACATAGAGAACAAACAATTTTGGGCACCAAATCAATATTTACATTGGATCTGTATTGTTCTGTAAAGGCATCCATTTCTTTTATTGTACTGTTTTCCTTATTGTTTGTCTCCAGCGATGTTGGGTCAACATGACTCCCTGTTTTTCAGTCACTGCCTGTTGTAGGTGTCACTGGATCTTCTGTATCATTGTCATTAGCATAAACATTCTTTAGTCCTTTGTGCAGAGTGTTGTCAGGAGTCCTAAGACATGGCTAAAGATATCCAAATCATGGGAATTATAAGAAAGTGCAGCACTTGCAAAGTAGAGCTCTGGCTTTTACTGCAGTGGGCATCCAATTTGGGTTTTTTGGAACACTTCTTTTTCTTTTTGTTTGACGCTGTAGATGATTCCGGATTCTCTATGAACTCTGGGTTTAGATTTTCCAATGTCTTGTCCAGGTTGTTAGATAACGTTCCGAGTGGCCCATCATTCTGCTTATTCTGGGTCTCATTTTTTGTTCTTTCTTGGAGCTTGTAATTGGTCTTGGACATGTTCTCCTTTCCCTTCAGACCATTATTAGTGATCTGTCGACTCTTTCCTGACAGGATGGAGGACTTGTCATTATCTCCAAGACAACACCTGGGAATGGTGTCACCTAGAGGACTTTCAGTTGAAGAAAATTTTCCAGCCTGTGCCTTGGAATTGAAAAGACTTGTCTGGATATGTGTTGTTTCAATGCATCCCTCCAATTCTTCACTTTTCAGTTGTTTCAAGTCTTTTCCTGCCAGGAACTCTGGGACATGACACTCCAATTCTGAGCTGGAACCTTTGAAACGTTTGAACCAGTCCCATAAGGTCCTTGCCCGGCAGTCACAAATCCACTGATTACCGTTTAAGCGCAAATACTGGAGAGAAATCAGGGGGTCCATTGTCTCCCCAGTCAAGACAGTAAGGTTGTTGAAGAACAGAAACAGGGATTTTAATTTACCGAGATCACTAAAAGCACTGGGTTGGACAAAAATTACCCTGTTTTGATGCAGTAGAAGCCGGTCTAAATTTATTAGGCCACGAAACATGTTGTCAGTTACTATCTTAATCTTGTTGTTGTGCAGGTAGAGATAGGTGAGGTTGGCAAGGTCCACAAAGGTGTCATCATGCAGTGTGGGAATGTTATTGTCCTGCAGATAAAGGTACTGGAGAGAGAACATTCCTCGGAAAACCCCAACAGGGAGCTCTGACAGGCCACACCTGTGCAGGTGAAGGGTGTGCAGCTTAGTTAAACCCCTAAAGGCTGTTGGGCTAATGGTGCGGAGGTTGCTGTTATCGCCAATGTCCAGTTCCTCCAATTTTTCCAAACCAAAAAAGGCTCCAGCCTCAATGTAGCTTATGTTATTTGAGTAGAGCCAGAGAACAGTAAGATTGTGGCAAGAACTGAAGCTAGTGGACCTCACCACAGTCAGCTTGTTACTCTGGAGGAATATCCGTTGGCTCCGTACAGGAATCTCTGAAGGAATGGAAAACAGTCCTTGTTGTTGGCAAGCAACAGTGGGCCTGGGCTCACTGTAGCACACACACTTGGCAGGGCAGCTGTCAGTTTGAGGCAATAGGTTCAGCCACATTACTAGGAAAAGGAGTCGCCCCCCTGTGGAGACAAAGAAAAGACAGAAGAGGTTCAGTAAATGAGGTATTAAATACTGAATTAAATTACATACAATGCAGAAAATGTGTACACAGAGATAATCTTAGCCAGTAAAAATAAAACCAGACAACCTTAAGAGCATTTTAAATAGGAGCAGTTACAGTTGTATGAAATAGCAGATAAAAAAAAAAATCCTAAATTGTCTTTAGAATTGAGCTTAAATGCTGAAAACATTTAAACACATGTTTAACAATCCCATTATAATTTGCTGTATGTTATAGCTTTGATGTTATTTGACTGAAAGCAGCATGAGTCCTGCCATTCATTGACTCATTTGAATTTGAATGGGTGAGTATTATATGTGAAAAAACCATAACAGACATTACAAATGTTTTTTTCATTGAAATCAAGGTTGACTTGGTACCCGAATGTATGAAAGAAATTACTAAGCAAACACGACAAAAAAAATATCTTGCAAAAAAGTTTTTATATATCATTTTTTACTAGACAAGAAAACTCAAGAATAGAGTCTATATTTAAGAATGACCTGAAAGATTCCCTTTAGATTATTTAAAAAGGACATTAATTGAGTTTAAATATCAAACTGAAAGTTCCTGTAACTTAAATTATGTTGAATGAGTAAAAAATGTGAAGCGATTAAAAAAAAATAATAAGAAAAAAAGCTTTGCTAAAGTGCCTTAAATTTACAATCATGACACTAAAATATCAATTATTTTGGGCCCATCAAGTTTAATCTATGACTTTAGACATTTTAAGAGGTGATAGAATTATCAGCAAGGTTTATATATTTTTTAGAGTCTGACTTTCATTTTCTCACTATCCAGTTTTAATGGACTGTGTTCATGTAATACATCAAATCCACTGCCCATTCATACTAAATGGTTTCAAAAGAATAAAAGACAACCATAAAATAGATGTTATAAAACTACAGCTGGCACTTTAACTAGCTAGTGATAGTTCAAAACTTAGTATCTGGTAGTCACATTAGTTTGTTTAAAGTCACAGCATGACCCCCTCATATGGCAGAGGAGCTGAAAACTAGTATAACTAATATTAATAGGTAAAGATATTTTTGATCCAAACAGTACATGAGCTTAATATCAATCTCAAGATGATGAAATGGGTGGTTTTAGAGTTTCCCCATTATCTGTTCCATTATTCAATAATTAAAGCATTAGCCTTTGTGATGGCTATGGGTATCCATGGTATAAGCAAGCTTTAATGACTTAAGGAAAAAAAATGCGTCATTAGATTACACTTAACACACTTAATCGCTAAAATGTAATTAACCAGACTTGAAAAGAATTAATAACAACATAAAACCTCCCATCTTGGCCTGCACATACAAATAAAGTTTTCAGGGGCAGCCTAAATGTACAATGTTCAATAAGGGCACCAGCACTATGGCCTATATTTATTTTCATTTTTTACCATTATTAGAAATAAAACATAGATTACTTTAGCTAAAATAATTTATTTATTGTGTCCTCTGCCACGGTTCAGATGAGCTTCCTGAACAATGATACTATAGCGGAAATGGGGTTCGATGACAATACATAAACGAACCCTGCTGACAGTGCTGTACAACTAAGTAAGTTATGAAGGTTATCTACTGCTGCTCATCCATTCTTTGTGTACAGATGAAGGTGTCAAGGTTCCACAAGCTGGAATAATCAGATATTCCTCTGATATTCATCCGATTCCCTTAGTCCTGTTCAAATCTCATTATAACTTAAAATCTCCTATTTTCTCTCCAATACACATGTTAGGGTTTTGAGGGTTTGCAGGCATGACAGGTGGTGAGTGTGTGTAAAAATGTATAAGCCTTACTCATCCCTCCTTACAACCCCCCCACTCCTCCTCTTCTCATTCGCCTGCAAAGTGTTGTGGTGCAGCTCATCTATGGACCTTGTTAAATGGGGCTCTGCTGTGGCCTGACAGCAGCCCTCTGCTGCACTTTCCTTCTAGCCTCCCCGCTCAGCCGTCAGACTGCCACCGGAAAGCTGTCAAGAGTTTCCACTCTTTCTGCACCACAGCACTTTTCCCCTAGCATACACTAACAATAGCTAGATTTTACCTCCTAACATGCTTTGTGTATCTCCCTTTTTAGTTTACATTTTTTCCTCAACGGCCTATTTCTGTCTCTGCACTTTGGGTAAAAAAAAAACTAATTCCTAAAAACTAAGAATTATATTTCTCTTCTTTGTGAGAAACTGTTAATAGAAAGAATGACCCCCAAAGATCATCAACCGACTTGGCAATATTTATTTGTGGCTTATTAAACCTATCGTCAATTTTGCATATCACTGATGATATCGTATACTTTATATATCATAATGTCAGGACAGGATTTTCAAAGTTGTTATTGTCAAGCTAACTCAAGTAGTATTCTGTAGAAATGTAGGTATTTTTGAAGGCAACTATTAACAAAATAATGTAAAGCTAATAAAAACACATAAAAGTCTGCTTATTAAAGAAAAACAAAATTGGAAAACCCACTGCCGCCTGATTTTTATAGTCTTTGAAGTTATTATCATACATTTAGATGGAAACAAAAAATACAAAAAAACAAACACAAATGTTCTCCTCAAAGTCTGAGATTGCTCCAAATCAACCTCATGCAATCCTTGATTTGGAGATAAAAGCTGCCTCATCTTAATGTGGTCTATTTGTTCTTTCTTCATGCACAGTCACTGGGTTGATATGTAAAGACCCATACAGTCCCAAAGTCAAAGCTATATTGTTCCAGATCTTGTTGTAAATTTCTATCCTTGGATTTATCATTTGTGTAGAATTAAAAAAGAAAAAAAAAATCATCTACATAGCTCATTCAGCAGGTTGCACAAATTTCAATAGTAATTTTCTCGAACTTCCAAAGCAGAGAGACTTGAGATTGGCTCATGTAGTGCTAAACTAAAGAATAAAGCACATTGTTAGCCCATTTTGTATTTGAAATTGAGTATACTTAATCTCTTTAATTTATTTATCCTTTTAAGAATGACAATTAATGAAAAAAGCCAGGACAAAGAAAGATGGGGCAGGGGGGTTAACTTTGTTTAGCTGTGGAAATAGTTGGTTTGGGGAGGGACGGGACACAGCAAAGTTTTTGTAACCAAAGCAAAAATGAAACAACTGGTGTAAAAGATTAAGACATACACTGGGTCTCCAAATATGGACATCTATTCTTTGCGGTTCAATTGCATTCTGTGATCAGGTTGCTGAACAAGCAATTTCCCAAACTTTAAATTCTGACCGACAGTGTAAAACATTTATTTATAATTCATCCTTTATGCTTAAATATTGCTTTGTTTTTTGACAAAACATAGGGAAAAAAACACCACAATTGCTGGCTAAAACCTGGTCTAAATTGTCAGTTATTACTTTGAGAGAGAACTATTAACTTTGGTGATGCTCTTTATATGATTTTGATTGCTCTTTTGATTGCTGTCAGCACAGATTTAGGAGTTTATGAACAACACATGGAGCTATTAGTAATAAAGCATGGCAAGGATTTGAAAAGTTATGGCTTCAAAATGACATAATTCTTCACAACGTTCAGTCTTTAGTCATTTTAATAAATCAAAGTTTCAGAGTGACCCAAGTATTATCTGGCTATATACACTGCAAAAAAATGTAATCTTAATAAGTAATTATTTCTTTAAATAAGTGCATTTTTTCTTGAATTGAGGAGGTAAATGAGACACTTTGCCAATGGAACAAGATAATTCACATTTGAAATAAGAAAAAAACAATTGCATTGTCTTATTTCAAGTGAATTTAATCTAATTGTCTTATTTTAAGAGTAAATATACTCATTCCATTTGCAAATCCTCTTACTTACCAACTCAAATTAAGGGTAAATACACTTAATTTAATAAATCTTTACTTATTATTTAGCTTGTTTTTGCAGTGTAGAGAATAAGAGCTACATGCTCTACCTTTCCTAGCCGTTTTGATGCTCTACCTGTTAAATCTAACAAATAGAGCTCTTGTTTAAAAAAAAGCCAGCTGTTGAGAAGCATTAATCTAATTGAAACTTAAAGAGTTTACCATTAATTTCCTGTATCTTTATTGAAATTTTAGTTTTAAGTATATTTGGTATGCTAAGCGATTAGCCTGAGTTTATTAAGTAATAAGTAGCATGCACAGCTAATTTCCAATGTTGTTGAAGAAGAATTGAGTTCTTTATTTTTAGCTAATAGAAACTGATATATGAATCATTGACATTGATACATGAAATACCAGGAATTTAAAGAGTTATTGTTAACATTGCCATCAGTCAGTGAATCAAATTAAAGTGACAATTACATATCATGGATTATATTATTATACATACGTTTCCAGCGTCAATTAATAGTTTGTATATTCGCATTTAAATAATGTTAAGTAGCTCTTTGAAATCTTTCTTTTAAATATTATAATGAAACTGTGATACCGAGGTATTTATAACTAAGGTTGACAAATCTTTAGAATCTCATAATAGCCCATAATGACTGTAGACTTACAGTCACTTACTCTTCTCCTATCTCTTTTGTCAAAATATGATTTAGAGCAGTTCTCTCCCTCTTTCATACTTTACTAGCATCTTCTTTTCTTTAAGATGCATTGTCCTACTAAAGCAATATCACTTTGTCTTGAAGCAGAAACATTTTTTTCTTTTTCTTTTTTCTTTTTATGTGCAGGTTCTTTTTAGTTCAAATAACTCCTGTTTTATCTTGCATTGGGTTGTTAATCACTCTGCTGAAATCACTGGACTCTGTTTTTGGGGCCCTCATTGTGCCTCATGTTTTTACTCAGCTTAACCCACTGAAGTAAAAGAAAGATGTCATGGTGTGTTATTTAGAAAAGAATGGGAAACACATCGTTTGAGGGGAAAAAATAAAAAAATACAACTTTCTTTTGAAACTGCCAAAAGAATTTTGTTTTCTTTGAAGTATTACTTTCTTTAGGTAAGGTAATGGGTCATTACCAGTGGGTA